GCATCTGCAATTCCAGGAGCACCTGGGAGAGTAGGCAGGGAGAGCCTGGCTCATTGGGAGCTGCCTTTGGCCACCCAAGGGGCTTGAGGGGAGAAGAAAGGCATCTTAAGGTGTGGAAGCTAGATCCCCTTAGAGATGGTCGGTTCAGTCCTGCAACGTGTGTGATACTCCACAGGGCAGAGAAAGCACAGAGATAAACAGGGCAGTGTTGGAAATGCAGCCTGAGGTTGAAGTTGGCAGGTGGGTGCAGGTGGATCAGCCCCTGCTCTGGGCCAGGCCCTGTGCGTGTTAACTACTGGGGACATGGCAGGTAGGAAGAAATGGCCTCTACTTGTAAGAGCTTACATATGTCTGTTGGGGTGGGGACAGAATACATGTGTAGGAAATAATTACAAGTAAGCAATATAGAAAAAAATAGAATATGACAGAGGAGACTATTAAGCTGTAGGAGGTGGGAAGTGATCTGGGAAGGACTCAGAAGAGGTGACATTTTATCCATTTCATTAATTCAGCCAACACTAGGACACAGTAGTGAAGCAAAAATTCCTGCCCCCTTGGAGCTTAAGTCTAGTTGTGGGGGGGCATAGGAAACAAACACATGTCAGTAATAAGAAAAATAAAAGCAGCATAAGGGATGTGAGGTGCTACATTAGATACAAGTTCAGCAACTACTTCTTGGTGTGACATTTGATCTGAGAACTGTAAAGTGAGAGAATAAGCCATGCAGATAAGGAGGAAGAACATTCCAGGCAGGGGAACAGGAAGTCCAGGGGACCTGATTTAATGGACGTGGAGGTCAGTATGGCTGGAATGTAGTGAGAGGAGGAGGAAAGGCAGCAGGAGGGAGCACTTCATGAGGACTGCTGTGTGGAGGACAGATTCCAGCAGGGAGAGGAGTCAGTAGCCTGGAATGACCCAGGTGAGAGCTGGTGATGGCTTGTAACAGGCCAGGGTGGCAGGGCGATGGGAGGTGGTTGCGTTCAGGATGCGTGTTGAAGGTACAGCAGAAAGCCTGTGATGATGCATTTGATGAATGGGACAGCAACAGCTCAAGAGTGGGCAGCCAGCTGAGTGGCTGTCACTGGAGCTGGGCTGGGTGGAGAAAGGAGGAGCAGCTTTAGGGCAGGATGAAATTAGGAGTTGGTTTTGGACAGGTTAAATGCTAAAATTTTCCCCTACATTTTATTATGAAGAATTTATATGTCCATTAAAGTTGAAAGGAATTTATAATGAACAGCCTTATACCCACCACCTAAATCCCGTCATTTTGCTGTCCTTACTTGATCACAGATTCTCTCCATCCGTCCAGCCCTCTATCCATCTGTTATTCATTCCATCTTACTTTTTTGGTGCATTTCCAACAGAACTGGAGATAGCAGTATACTTCCCCTTAAGTAATTTAGCATGCGTACATAGCATTAACCGAGTTAAATATTGGTTTACTTTTTTGAGATAAAACTTACTTTCAATGAAAAGTACAAATGTTAAGTATATATGTCTTAGTGGACACACTTGTGTTACACAAACTCATGTCAAGTTATAAAACATGGCAGTCATCCCCAGAAAGCTTCCTTTCCCTGACAATGCCCACTTCTACCTTCTACCATCAGGGAGCCGCTGTTGTGATTTTTTTCTACCATAGATTGATTTCACTAGTTCTGTACTAGAACTTCATATTATATATAAACTGTATTCTATGTGTATAAATACACACACATATGGAATCACACATATATACTCTTGCATGGCTCCTTTCACTTAACGTGTTTACTTTTATCCATGCTACTGCATATATCAGTACTTTCTTTTTATTGCTGAGCGTATTCCACTGTATCTGTACACCAGTTTATTTTTTATTTTTTGGCTGTTATAAAGGTGCTGTGAACATTCTTGCTGTGAACACTTTTTTGTGGACATATTCATTCCTTTTGGGTATATACCTAAGATTGGAATTTTGGGGTCATAGAGTAGGTAGATGTTTTACTTTTATTAAAAAAAAAAAAAAATAATGGGCGCCTGAGTGGCTCAGTCGGTTGAGCATCTGACTCTTGATTTTAGCTCACGTCATGATCTCAAGGTCATGGGATAGAGCCCCTGCTTAAGATTTTCTCTCTCCCTCTGCCGCTTTCTCTCAAAATAAATAACCAACTTGTGATGAACGCTGGTGTTGTAACAGTTGAATCGCTTAATTCTACACCTGAAAGTAATATTACACTGTATGTTAACTAGCTGGAATTTAAATAAAAACTTGGGGGAAAAAAAACCCGAAACCTGTCAGACCTTTTTTGAAAGGTCCATCTACAAAAGAATGGGTAAATGCATTGTGGTATAGCCATACTATGGAATATTGTGCTGTAGTTGAATGAAGTAGAGCCACATGTATCAACATGGATAAGTTGCAAAAATATAATGTTTGCGGGGGGGGGGGGGGGAAGTAAATTGTAAATTGAAACATTTACTATGATACTATTTATATAAAGTTTGAAAGCATGTGAAACAAATAATACATACAGTTATTGGTACATACTTAGAATAGCATGAAACCATATTTTGCAAAAATAATCATTGACTTTTACTATCCCAAGATACTACTATTAATATGATTCCATTCATTTTCCAGGAAAATGAATGGAATCATATTAATCTCTGTACTTTCTGGTTCTCTGATTTCTAACTTTGTCTAAGGAGCTTCTCCTGAAGTATTTATCTCGTTTACTCCTTGGCCCCTGGCCTCTACTTCTGTAGGTAGTTGAGATTGGGCAGAGCCAGGACTCAGGAAACAGAGCTGCTCACTCGGCTTCTGAGCCCCTTCTCTGTGGCAGTGTGGTGCAGGAGGTGTGTGTGGGAGGGAGGAGGAGAGTGGGGGGAGAGGTGTGGGAGGAGCAGGGCAGGTCCTGGTGGGGTGGCCTCTGACCTGCCCCGGGGGCTATCACAGCCTCCAGATGACTTCCAGCCCATCCTTCCCACCTACTTTCTAAACCTAGGTCTGCTCTGGACCAAGCTCTCCACCCAACCCCAAGTACAAACTCTCTTAAAGTTGAGCTGTAGTTTAAAATGTTCCATTGTTTGGGTTTTTGTTTTTTGTTTTTTATCCTTCAGGGACTCTCACTTTACATTTGTGCGATTTCTTTTGCCTGTCTTATCTATCATGCCTTCTCTAATGATTTTACTTATTTCTGTTTTTTCTTCTTCACTTTTCTTCGTTTTCCACAGCATCCTTTAGAGTGGTGCCTCTTCTCTCTTGTGTTTCTTGTAATTTGGTTTCTGAAACATTGTGTTTTTATTTTCTAAATCTACCAGTTCCTGTTTCAAGTCAGCCTGCGGCCCTGGCTGCCCGACCATCCCTTCCTTGAGTTGTTTCTGCCTCTCAGCTTCTTGCATGGCTGCCATTGCTTGGTTACATGTTTTAAATGTTATAATAGGATGTTGTTAAATTTTTCTTCTGCTTTGTGGCAGCATTTTTCTGATGAATTTTCATAGTCTGTGTGGAAGTTTTGCTACTTCCTTCAGATTTTTTTCTGACAGTACCTTCGTACAGACGTTTTTCTTATGGTGCCTCTGACTGGATGTTGAGTTACAACTCTTTATCATTTATGTTTGCGTGCGCTGGATTTTTCAAAACCAGTGATTTGCGAGAGAATGCTGGTGCCCAGAGTAAGGAAGCTGGCCTCCACGTTTCTCAGCTCAAGGGCTCCCTCCGGTGTTACTACAGAGATGTCCACTTTCTTTACCATATGGCGCCTCGGCGTAGCTGGGCTTCCTCTTTATTTAGGATCCCAACCAGCTCAGGAGGCCTTCTACGACCAGTGTAGGCCCCCCACCCCCGGCTCTTGCCCGACTCCAGGGGCCGTGCCCTTCCTACCTGCACGCTCCTTGCTCTTTCCTAACCTGCTGCTATGAGCCCTCCAGGCACTTGAAGGGCTTTTTCTTCCTCTTCCTGCTCATGGCATTTCTCAGCCAGGCCGGGTCCTTGCGTCCTGGGGCTGAATTTTCACTGGGGGTTGCTGGGCCCTGCACCACCCGGACCCCCAGGCGGTTTCTGGTCTTCCTTGTGGCGGCTGGCAAACCACACACTGTAGTTCACTGTGCTGGTTCAGGGGTGATACTGCGGAGTTTGTGACCTTTCTCACTTCCTCATTTCTCTGAAGATGTAAGTCTGTAGGAGTTTCACACCTTCGTTCTTGTTGCTGAATGGTTTTCAGGAGAATTGCAAAGACTCTGAACAGAGCTGTCAAACATGCGCCCATCAGGCTGCTCTGGAGCCAGTGGGCAAGCACTCAGGGCGCTCCACAGTCTGGTTTTCCTCCCAGCTCTCCAGCGTGACCCCTGCTCCAGCCAAACTGGTCTACGCACCATCCCAGGGACTCACCATGCAAATTTCTCTGTGTTCCTGCTCTTTCCAGGGCTGCAGTGTTCCCTTCGGGGCTTCTGTATGGTTCTCAGGCAGCATGCATTTCTCCCTCCCTTTCTTCTGGTATCAGAACCCACCCACCATCCACCAATAGGGATAGGTGTGCCATCCGAGCTTGTTAATCATGGTGCCCTTCCGTGGGCAACAGCAGTTGTTTCAGGGAAAGGTGAATGGTCCGAGCAGGGCCAGAGCCCTGCCCTGAATATTCCTTCCCTGAGAGCTAGCTGAAAAGCCTGCCTCTTGCTCCAAGGTCCCTGTATCCAGCAATGTTCATTTGGAGGAATACCCCATCTGCAATATGAAAGACTGTGGTGGCACAGAGAGCAGAGGAGAGAGAGAAAGAGAGAGATTCCTCGTTTAAGTCCTGGATCCACCCTGAGGTTCTTAATAACATAAACCAGTCTATTTCAGTCTATTACAGGTTAGCATAAGAAACGGAGTTTTATCATGTGCAGCTGAAAACACCTTACTTTGTCTCCTATCATCCCAGTGCTTTTACCTACTGTAACACACAACACACTGTATAGTCACTGTAATTGCATGATTATTGTATTTGTCTGTATCCCCCACTGAAAGCCTTTTATTACAGGATCCACACATGTTCACCTGCGTGCCTAGTACCCAGCGTTGTGCCTGGCCAGCAGTGGGCAGTCAATAGATGTTCAATTGAAACTACATTTCTGCCTTTCCTATTTCCTCCCATCATCACTCAAGGTCTTAGAGTCCAAGTCCTTTGTGGAGCCCTCCACATCAAGTGAGAGAATCCAGGTAAAATATCCAGCACTGCAGGCAGCTATATGCAGGCTCTCATCAGAGCTGCATCCTTCTTGCCCCTGATTCCTTGAGTCAGAAGTGATGTCTCCCTCCCTTATCTCATTTAATCCAGTGGCAGCTGCTTCTACTGTCTTACATTAGAGTCACTTGCATTTCTCTTTTAAATTTTCAAATATTAGAAATGCCAGGAAGCAAGGACCTAGCACGGTGCCTCATACAAAAGAATGTGCAGTTGTAGACTATCCAGATGAATGCATAATGATCAGTACTTTAGGGGTGACACAGGGGCTGGTGGTCTGTTATTAGCTGTGGGAGTCCTCATGTTAAGTGAGTCATGGGGTAGATCCAGGGGAACCTGAAAAGAGGAGAAAGCTGAATCACTTTTGCAGAATGTATGAATGGATGCTGTTTGGAAATCTAGTTAAGCTGTGCCAACTGACAATGGCTGAAAAATAGCTGTGATTACTCCCTGTCCTCAACATCTCACTACATGGTAAAGACTGTTAACTTGCCCAAACTGAATTCCTGGAATGAGAAATGAGGCACGAGGGGAGTGCAGGTCAGAGTGTATAACGCCTTCAGTTCTGATAAGGGGAAACTGAGTGGTACCAAGAGACTAGAAACTCCTAGTCCAGAACTAGGCCTCTCACACTCTCACAACTGGCCTCATACCTTTCTCTGGTCCTATCTTCCACATGTGGTTAGTAGAGTCTGACTGGTTCAACCTTCTGAGAGAATGTAAACTCCCGAAGGCCAGGGACTTGGTCTGTGCTGTTCAGCATTCAATCTCCCAATGCCTGAAACAGTGCCCTGTCACTGTGGGGCCGTAGGAGGAACTCTGTTGAATTCATCTCTCTACTGGAGACATATACTGGCTATATACCAGATACAGCTTATTTACCTTTTATGCACGTTGTTGAAATATTTATGTGCACAGATTGATTCCCTTACCTGATGCAGATCTTAAAAGAACTTTCACATCCAAGTCCTGTGATGTCAGTGAATTCCAGTATCTTATTCACTAAGGTAGCTCTAGTGCCCCAAACACTCTGTCAGTATTTTTGGAATGAATGATTTAAGTATTTGATGAGTGAAGTTTAAATTGAGCAAAGAAATGGAAGTGAGTGGCTCAGATTTAGTAAAAACACTATACTACATTTGTTAGAACACTGTTAGAGTTTATAAATGCTCTCATAAATACTCCCTCACTTGAGTCTTGCAACAGCCCTCCCTACAAGGTTTATTTGGTAAGTTTTATAGATGAACAAAAAGGCTCAGAGGAATCAGAGGGATTGTCTAAGATGACATAGCTTGCAGGTTGGAACTGAACCCAAGTTTTACAGTCATTCTGCTTTTTCATGGATACCAATAGAAGGTGAGACGAGGGTAATAGAAAACAGTCAACATTTTATCATTGGAACTGTAGAATCTTGGAAGTGGCCTTGTACACCAAAAATTCCCAACCCCTCCCTCATTTTTCAAAATAGGAAAGTAAGATTCGGAGAGATCCCGTGATAGATCCAAAGGCGCAACTCTAGCTGAAGAAGTAATTACACTGAGGCTCCTGCTTCTGGTTTGTCCTCAGTTTCTCTCTCAACCGGAGAGAGTAGATTGAGCTTGCAAGAGGCCATGCTGCCCTCTGCCTTCATGCATCACAGCCCCTCGAAGCCCCGGGAACTCGAACCCCTCTGGAAGTCTGCCGCTCTGACGGGAGCATGGCCCTGTTGGAAGGTTCTTCTCTCTCCCTCTTTCCTGTCAACTCTTTTTCCTTCTTTCTTAATTACCTTGCAGGTGAAGGGTGAGAGCTGTGGAAGCTGCATCTAGCCAAGGTTCCCTGCTCCCTCCCCTCGTTTCAATAAAGGTTGCTGAGTTCGAAAGTTAGTAAAAGTAACCTCATTTCGCTCTCCATTTATGTACTGGTTTTGAACTGTTCACAACTCTGAACCTAGTTTTGTTTTTCTTTCCTTCTCTGATGCCCACTGCTGTAGACCCTGGCGGCTGAGAGTTCACGGTGACTGGAATCTAATGGAATCTTGCCTCTGTCCAGTAGGAATGATTTTACCAGGCCTTAGAGAAGATAATTCCATTGATTGGGCTTGTACGTCACTTTTTATGAGTCAGAGCCTGACAAACAAAAGCACAAACCACAATCTTACCAGTAATCAGAGAAATACAATGAAACGCCAGTAGGCCAAAACCACCCAATAGGCAAAAAAAAAAAAAAAAAAAAGAAAGGAAAGAAAGAAAGAAAAAAAAGAAAAGAAAAGAAAAAGACAGTATTTTGTGCTGGCAAGAGGGTGAGAAAATGAGCCCTCAGACATTGCTGTAAACATGAATTGCTGTATCTTTTGGGAATGCAACCTGCTATCTATTAAAAAAAAAATACAGAGATTACATCCAGCAATGTTAGTTTTGTTCGTTCATCCTGTGGAAATCAAGGTTCCAGTCTGTAAAGTCACGTGTTCAAGAAAGTTTACCACAGTGTTATTTGTAATTGCAAAAGCCTAAAAACAATTTAAATTTCTGTCAGGAAGTATTGAATAAATTATGGTTTGTCTGTACTACAGAATATGTCATGCAATTATTTTTTAAAAACGGAGTTAGGCTTCCTTGTGTGGACTAAGAAAGCTGTGTTATCATGTGAGTATCATAGTAATAGTTGCAGACTAACATTAATGAAATGGTCTTTACATTTTGGGGAAAATAAATCTTCATACGTGTGTCTATGTGATTACATGAGTACGGAGAAAAAAGGGACAGGATACCATCTCAGACTTGTTACAACAAGCATGCATTGATACGGTGATTTTTTTTTTTAATAAAGTGAAAGAATGTGAGAGAATGAGTTTGAGAGATAGAAACTAGATTATAACCGATCTGTCTAGTTGTGAGAGGTTCAGTCAATTACCTAACCTCAGTCCTCATCTGTGAAAAGGGAATAATATCTACCTCAGTGTGCTTGATTAAAGGACATATACAAAGCATGTCTCACATTGTAAGCCTTCGGTTTCTTTTTCCTTCTACACAAGCAGTTTGGAGTAGAATATTAGAACACATGCAAAATGTGTTGGCAATGCTACCAGGGTGTATTATCCCAATGTTCTCAGCTCGACATTGGCTTACCAAAGCGGCGGGTTAGCGCCTCTCTGGGAAAAAAATATCCAGCTGATAATCTCTTTTTCCCTCCTTAATCCTTACAGAAACAAAGTAAGAGTAATGCAGATCGTGCCTTGGCCCTCTGGGGGTTACTTACCTAGAACCTCAGTCAGTAACCCTGCTGAGAAGTGGAAAGAGGTAAAGAAGGCCTCTGAATAGCCAAAACAGATGTTCTCAAGCTCAAGTTCTTACTGGATCATTTATTCTGATTTTAGACAACTCCAACAAGCTTTTCCAGCCTAGCACATAAGTGAGGACACTATGACAGGCAGGAGGGACAGCTGGCCTGAGCCCAGGGATGAGGGAAGATACAGGGACGGGGCAGGCTGGATGGTCTGGAGCTAGGCCCGTTTTCACAGTGCATAACTTAGGTCCACAACAGTGATGCTGAATTATTAGGGAGAAAATAGTTCATGCTTTACATAGTATTTTTTAAATTCTTCGTTTACTTAAGTAATCTCTATACCCAATGTGGGACTCAAACTCATGATCCAAGATCAAGAGTTGCATGCTCTTCCTGCTGAGCCAGCCAGGTGCCCTTGATGCTTCATATAATATTATAAATGCCCCTAATGAGAGTGTTCTGAATTACCACCACCAGAGATGATTGAACATTTTTTAGTTTTGCTGCTTAAAAAGTAAGTTTTGGTTTCATATTAGTGCCAGAATATAACAGAGGTCTTTATCCTGTGAAGGAAAGATAGAAAGCTGCATAGCCAAGAGTGACAGGCACTAGAGATTGTTCAAAAAGGATACTGACCTGGAATAATGGAATGATTTCCTACAAATGTGTTAATTTGCCTTTTTTTTTTTTTTTTTTTGCCAAAATAAGGTCCACAATTTAGAATCCAAAATCCTTGGGGCCTGCAGAGTTTTGGAACTCAAGATTTTTCAGATCTCTTGAAAGGTAGCATGTATATAACATTGTATGTTATATAATAGCCCCAGCAGGGTCTAATTCAGCAAATCAAACATCTAATACTTCCACAGTGAAACATCCATTAGAACAAATAGTATGTAGTTTATTTAAATAATAAACCACTAAATGAAACGGTGGGATAAAAAGAAGTTGTAAATACTCTAATACTGTTATTTTTAAAAATTGTTTAATGTTTGTTAATTTTTTAGAGAGACAGAGCATGAGTAGGGGAGGAGCAGAGTATGAGGGAGACATAGAATCCAAAGCAGGCTCTAAGCTCTGAGCTGTCAGCACAGAGCCTGACATGGGGCTCGAACCCACGAACCGAGGATCATGACCTGAGCTGAAGTTGGATGCTTCACCAACTGAGCCACTCAGGCGCCCTAATACTCTTACTTCTAAGAAAGCATTTTCTAAATCTTTTAAATACATGCAGGTTCAAATTCAGCTAAATATGCCTGTGCATGTGCAGACCATGAGCGTCTATTGCCTCTGGCTTGGCCCGAGCGTCCTGAGGAGAGGAATCTCAGTGCCTGTCGCTGGCAGCAGCTTAGAGGGGCTGGGTTACCCTTCATCACAGGAGCTGCATCAAGGGAAGCACTCTAAGAGGGGCCTCTGTAAGGACTTCTCCCCATGTCAGATGGTTCATTAATTTAGGTTTCCATCTAACCAGTTCCTCATTCATTACAAAACCCAGCGCCAACTCACGTTCATGGATAAATGTGCATGGTTCAAGGCCAGCTATTGACCCATCACACATTTTCACCATATCGTCTAGGTATTTTTTTTCCACCTGTTTACAACTTCATCTTCATCATCACTATTATCCTCATGATTACCTATATTTAAATTTGTTTTTAGTGTTTATATTTAAGAGAGAGAATCCAAGAGGGGGAGGAGCAGAGAAAGAGGGACAGAGGATCTGAAGTGGGTTCTGCCGACAGCAGTGAGCCAGATGTGGGGCTCAAACTCCGGAACCGTGAGATCATGACCCGAGGCAAAGTCTGACACTTAACCGACTGAGCCACCCAGGCGCCATGATTACCTATATTTAAAACCATTTCACACACCCATTAGGTTGGCTACCATTAAAAAAAAATGGTATTGGTGACAATGTAGAGAAATTCAAGCCCTTGTGCACTGTCGGTGGGAATGTTAAAATGATACAGTCACTGTAGAAAACGGGGTGACATTTTCTCAAGAAGACAGAATTCCCACATAATCAGCAATCCCATGTAGTCAGGTTTCTGGGTACTCAGAAGAATTGAAAACAGGGTCTCGGATATATGTGCACCCATTTTCATAGAAACATTATTCACAATATCTAAAATATGGAAGCAACCCAAGTGTCCCATCGACTGAATAAATGTATTCCATACAATGGAATATTATTTAGCCACAAAAAAGAAGGAAGTCCTGCAGTATGCTACAACATGGATGAGCCTTGGGGACACTATGCAAAGTGAAGCAGACTGGTCAAAATAAAGGTAAATACTGTGTGATATGAAGCACCTTATAGAAGGTACTTCAAGTAGTCAAAATCATAAAGACAGAAATGGTAATCGTGGTTGCCAGGGGCTAGGCGGGGGAGGGAAGAATAGGGAGTTACTGTTTCTAGGTATAGAGTTTCCATTTTACAAGATGAAAAGAATAATGGGGATGCTTCGTAGCAATGTTTGCACAACAAATATGAATGTATTTAATACTAGTGAACTGTACACTCAGAAATGGTGAAGACTGTAAATTTTAGATGTATTTTATGTTTTTAGTTTTTGAGAGACTGTGAGTGGGGGAATGGCAAAGGTCGGGGGGGTGACAGAAGATCCAAAGTGGGCTGTGCAGTGACAGCAGAGAGCTCCATGTGGGACTTGAAGTCACATACTGTGAGATCATGACCTGAACCAAACTTGGACGCTCAACTGACTGAGCCACCCAGGAACCCCAATTTTGTATTTTACAATTATAGAAAACCTATGTGTACACAAAATCTTAAAAAGCACTTCAGCGATTTTCTCACTCAAGGCGTGTAACAGAAGGATCCCCAGGGAATAAGGAACATTTCTTTGAGGTCAGCCAAATACTTTTAACTGAGCTAACAAACTTTTGGCGTAAGATGGTCATTTCATTACTGATATGAAATCCTTCAAAGTCTTTATTGATTTGGCTTTAAACATCACTGATGGGTGTGGGGAGGAGGGGGAGAGATGGGCATGGAGGAGGGCACTTGTGAGGATGAGCACTGGGTGTTATATGGAAACTAACTTAACAATAAACTATTTGTAAAGAAACAAACAAACAAAAAAACCCATCACTCTAAGTCAAAGTCCATGCCAAGCGTTTTCAGAAATAAATTTCTAATTTTGACGTAATCTTAGATTTACAGAGAAGTAAAGATAGTACAGATTTCCCGTGTGTTCGGCACCCGTCTTCCACTAACATTAAATAACTGTGGTCCATTTGTCACAACTAAGAAATTAGGGGAGCCTGGCTAGCTCTGTCAGAAGGGCGTGCGACTCCTGAGCTTGGGGTTGTGAGTTTGAGCCCCACATTGGCTGTAGAGAGTACTTAAAACATAAAACATTAATAAAACATAAAACATTAATAAAACATTAAATAAGAATAAAGTTTATTGGGGCACCTGGGTGGCTCAGTCGGTTAAGCGTCCAACTTCGGCTCAGGGCATGATCTTGCAGTTCGTGGGTTCGATCCCCACATCAGGTTCTGTGCTGGCAGCTCAGAACCTGGAGCCTGTTTCAGATTCTGTCTCCCTATCTCTCTGTCCCCTCCCCAGCTCATGTTCTGTCTCTGTCTCAAAAATAAACTATAAAAAAAATTTAAAAAAAAAAAAAGAAAAAAAGAATAGTTTACTGAGATTCACTAGTTAACATTTTTTAAAAAAAGAAAAAAGCTAAGAAATTAATAATAGTGCAGTACTATTAACTAACATCCACATTTTATCAGATTTCACTAGTTTCCCACTAATGGCCCTTTTTTTCCTGTTCTGGGATCCAGTCCAGGACCCTTCGCTACATTTCATCATTGTGTCTCCTTTGCCCCCTCAAGTCTGTGGCACTTTCTCAGTCTTTCCTTGTTTTCCACAACCTTGAAACTTCGGAGGAGTGCTGGCCACATATTTTATAAAGTGTCCCTCAAATTGAGTCTGTTTTTATGCTTCTCATAATCAGTGTGTGGTTACGCATATCAATGCCAAGCATTGTTAATACTAATTTATCAACATCATTCCAAGCCTTAGTAACTGTATTAATGGCATCCAGAAGGCAGTCTTTTTTATTTTTTCTGATTTTATTTTTAAGTAATCTCTACATCCAACACGGGGTTTGAACTCACAAAACCGAGGTTAACAGTTGCACACTCCACAAACTGAACCACCCAGGCACCCTTTCCTAGAAGTCTTTGACTCTGAGGCCCTTATTAACTGCAGCAAGCAAACAAGCACCTAAGACAATTTTAATTTTTTTAGGTGCTTTT